TTAATACTTAGAATAGGGTTTTCGGGCCCCATTACCCTACAAATTTCAAGAAGGAACCTCCCAAACAGTATAGGTAATTATTCAGGCCCCTTATAGTAGGATTCTCTAAGACTCGAAGAGTTCCTTTCAGGAGTCCCGCTGAAGGCTTCTACAGGGGTTCTACACACGTGTAGGGTTCAGCGTTTCGGGGTTGAGAGCCGGGGGCTTAACAAGCAAGTCGGAAGCGGTTTAGGGTTTAGGGTTTAGGGTTTAGGGTTTAGGGTTTAGGGTTTAGGGTTTAGGGTTTAGGGTTTAGGGTCACGAATAGAAAGGAGAAGCCAGCTTAGGCTACTCATACCTCCATGTGCCAATTTTGCTTCGATGAGCTAGTTGCCTGATCTTCGGAGTGGGGTTAGGATTTCTTGAAAACTCTAACAGTGATAGTGACGAGATGCTGCAACTTTCGAAGCTTACAGCTGTCATGAACGACGTGGCATCATTTGTTGTTGATACCTTTCGATGTCTCGTGGACAGTAGTTGGCATGTGCAGGAACTACAGCACCTGAATGTTGATGAGAGTGATGGCACTTGTGCGACGTGCGCCGCGAAAAGAGAGGGTGAAGGACAACAAGCTTCAGGATGCATATCTTCCAACCAGCAAACTGGTCACAAACCGCCCGTCTCGTCCCGAAATCCACTCTTGTCATCAAGGGGGTGATTTCAACGGCCGACGCACGAAATCCCGCGGACTCAAAACAAAAATCCTTCTACTTCTGTGCCAGCTGGAGATGTCGAAGCCCCGTTTCCCGGCCTGGCGGGCAGAGATGCACGCCTTGGTCTCCACGATGGCTTTGGCCGTGGCCGTGGCCTTTGCCCGGAGCCAGCACGACTCAGCTTAAAATTGCACCTCCAAGCCTTTGAACCCAGAACTCTGGCGACGCTATTCTTCTGCTGAAACCCTCACAACTCAAGAACTATCTGAATTATAACACAGCGCTTGCCCGCACCGAAGGCTAGTCTTGACAGTCCTGCCTTGAACTCCTTGGTCATGGTGCCGACGCCCTCGACTTCGACGGTCCGCTTCCTCGAAGCAAGGCGCGCAAGTAAGCAAGGAGCCCAAGATCCAACCGAAACCCTTAGAACAAACCCCAAGCCCACCAAATCAGATCCCTAGCTCGTAGGGTCCGTAGTGTGTGAAAATTCGAGATTTTTTCGGTGGTCAGGGTTCAAAACCCACACTCAAGTCATGAATGGAGCCCCAACGCACACCTCGCTGAGAGATGGAAGATGCCCATAAATTGCCTACGTTGAGGCAGCTGCGTTCCTCTACAATACCGTTGCGACACCGTTTAGGAGTGTCAGAAGGCGTGCTGATGAGGATGATGCTACTTAGCGCCGTCAGTAATATGATGACGGTTGTGATGATGGTGATGCTGATAGTGATGGTTCTGATGGCTATCCCTAAACCCTAAACCCTAAACCCTAAACCCTATCTTCATTATGACGACGAGCCATATGCTATTGCTACCAAGGTCTCAGCCCCAAGCTCCCTGGCCCCTGCTTGGAGGATCATGGCCATGGGACTGAGCAAGTAAGCTTAGAAGTACCTGAGGCTACTGTTTATTCTTAAAAGTCATTCCTTCATCATTATGCTGACGAACAACCCCAAAACCCTAAACCCTAAACCCTAAAACCCTAAAGCCCTAAACCCATGCTCTTGTTTATTCTTATAAGGTCTTAAACAGGCCGAGACTCTTCGTGACGGTGGCCGTGTCCTGGACGTGCACAGTGGCGTTCCTTTCAGCTTCGGCCTCGGCTTTGCCTCAGAGCTCTTTGCGTCAAAAAAGCCTTTAAACAATGAGCTTTGTGTGAGGGGCTTTCAAGTTTTTTTTTAAAGGTTTTTGGGAGGGTTAGGAGAGCTTTGTGTAAGGGGCTTTCAAAGCCTTTAAACAATGTTTTGGGGGGGATAGGAGAGCTTTTTGCAAGGGGCTTTCAAGGCTTTATTTTTAAAGGTTTTGGGAAGGTTAGGAGAGCTGTGTGTGAGGGGCTGTCAAAGCCTTTAAACAATGCTTTGGGGGGGTTAGGAGAGCTTTTTGTCCGGGGGTTTCAAGGCTTTTTAAAAGGGAGGGTTAAGGGATTCAACAGGTCTTAAAGGTTTTTGGGTTTTACGGATTTGGGGCTTTCAAGCCTTCTTAAAAGGTTGTGAGAGAGTAGAGTGAGTAGGAGCCCTTGGAATTCGGGGGATTAGGATTTTTCGGAAAGCTTTTGGGATTTGGGCACTTGAGGGTTTTGGGTTTAGGGCTTAGGGCTTTTCGGCTTCTGGAGTTTATTGAAGCTGCTTTTTTTGGTTTGAGGGTGCCTCAAACTGCAACAGACTCGAGGTTTGGTTCTAGAGGCTTGAGGGTCTGATTGTCGGGTTTGCTTTACCTACGAATCTGACTTTAGGGTTTAGCAGATTTTCGGTGGCTTTTTTAGAAAGGCCTTAGTGAGTGCAGTCTGATATAGGTTTAAGGCTTAGGGATATGAAGGCCCCTGATTTTCCGGTCTCGGAGCTTCTGGTGCTTTTGGTTTCGGATTTTGAAGACTTAGGGTTGTCGGGGACTTTGGTTAGGGCTTTTGGGGTTTCGGGCTTTGGGGGCTTTGGGTTAGAAGGCCTTACCTGAGTCCTCTAGGCCTGTTTAAGGGGTTAGGGTTTTTTTTTCACTCGCCAAGCAAAAAATAGCTAGTTTTCTGATCCTTCGTCCATACCTGGCCGAACCTTAAAACTTAGCCTCGCATCTTTTGGTCGGTCCTCGGTCCTAGCGGCATACCTCTGCACAGTGTTTAGGACTGTCACCGAATGAAGCTCCGCGCCCCCCTGTGAGACCAAATCTGAAGGCCTTGAGCTCCAAATCTTTCTGTCGCCCCTAGCTTTCAAATCTTGTTGAGCGCGGGGTCTCGGCAGGATGCCCGAAAAGACCAGGGGGGTTTGACTTAGGAAAGCTCTCTGGCACGGATTGGAAGAGTCTCGGGCGCCAAAGGTTTCAAGAAACGAAACGGGGCGAGTTGCCGTGTCCGGTCTGCTTGAGCTTGACCGTCGCACCTGCGGGGGCTGGTTTGGGTAAACATCCTCAACCCCTAAACCCCTAAGCCCTAAACCCTGAATCCTAAACCCTAAACCCTAGACCCTAAATCCCTAAACCCTAAACCCTGATGTTAAACCCTAAACCCTAAACCCTAAACCCCAAACCCTAAACCCCTAAACCCTAAACCTGAATCCTAAACCCTCAACCCT